TTAATGATTTCATGACAAAAGAATTTAACAATTATCTATGTTGACTGTAATTCTTTATTTTCCCACACATAGAAATTAGCCAACGTGAACATTTTATAATCATAGTTCCATATGTTACTCCATTGAGATGGTACTTTTATTTTATTTTTTTCATCAACATCACAGATCATGTCATTGTAGATTTAAAATGTAAAGATCATTCATCACTCAGTAAAGACAGCAAGACTGTGAAAAAGAGTCAATAAAATAAAGCAAAAACAAAAAAAAACTCCCTTTTTGTCCCTTTTTACCACTTCACTCCCTCACACCGTAGCAGCCTTTATATATGAAAGACAAAAAATACCCATAATAACTTAATGTCAAGATTAAAAAAAAAAAAAGTCAAACTGAATAAGTTAAGAAGATTGTTCTGTTGTGAAGACCTTCGTCCATTTCTGCAGCTGTCCCTCACTTCTCAGTGAGGGACAGCTGCAGGATGCGCTGCAGCTCCTCCTCTTCCTCCTTCTGTTTCCTGTGACAAATAAATTAGATAAATTATTTACCACGGAGAAGAGTAAACCGGACAAATTAATTCTGAATATTCGTGTTACTCCATCAGCATCGTGTTGTTTCTGATCATTTTGAGATTTTCCATATCTGGTTACAGATAGTTACAGTTAGTTCCAGAAAAGTAGAAAATGACATCTTTTTGGGGGCAATGTTGTTTTGAGGCTATTATAGATGATGATCATATAATATACTGTAGATTATACGATGGGGTCATCAATACATTGGTCGACACCTCGGGGGCTGGACACTCATAAAATGAAATCAGAATTTCACGTTTGTCTAAGGCAGGGGTGTCAAACACACTGCCCACTTTGCAGTTCAGTCCGGCCTGCTTGATGAATTTTGAAAATACACTTCATGTTCAGACACATACATATCTAATATACTTTTATATGTTTGCATGAAAACAAAGGGGAAAAACATGGACTTGTTATCTATAGTTAATTATTATTATGATTATACTGGTGATGACTGTACTGGTCCGGCCCACTTTAAAGCTAATTTGGTTGCATGTGGCCCGTGAACCAAAATGGTCTAAGGGAATGTAAACAGAGTCATAAACAGTTCTGTTTACTGGTAGTTATTTACGTCTCTGTAGTTATTTTTCTGATTTCTTTAATATGTGGATCACACAATATTTTCTCTTTGATACTCACAATTGGAGTTTGGCAGGCCAGATTTGGGCCGTGGGCCACCAGTTGATAATCAGTGTAAGATGATATAGACTAAGTGCTAACATGTTATTCCATTTTACTCGTCACTTTCTCCTCCTCCTCTTCCTCACCTGTCCATCTCCTCCTGCTCCCTGCACGACAGCTCCATGGCGAGGCGCAGCTGCTCGTCGTAACTCGAGGCCACACTGAAGTGTCCTGAGAGCTGCTGATCCGTCCCTGTGCTGTAGGACAAAGGGGAGTTGGTGGTGAGGTCTAAAGGGGAGACAGAGGAAGGCTGGCTGGGGTCGGTCGAAACCTCCCCCTCTCTGCTGGCCAGTGAGATGGACAGAGACTCCTGAATCGCCCTGAGGAGAAAAAAGTATCATTGTAGTTGTTGTTATTTTTATTAGTTCTTAACAGTATTGTTGTCGTTCCTACTGATCTTAGTAAGTCACTGCTGCTACACCTACACTATATAATATTACCCCATATAATCATCATCATCATCATCATCATCATCATCATCATCATCATCAACACAGACAGACATCTGAGCAGAAGAGTGTCAGTGCTGATCCTCATTACAGAATCATTTGGAGACATATTTCCCAGGAGAAGTTGGAGTTAAAGAATTAATCACAGAATTCTATGTGGAGAAGTTTAATTAGAGACATCAAAAGAAGGTGAATCATGAACAGGAAGCTGTTCACCGTTGTTTCACAGTCACAACCATGGAAGAGTAAAACTATTTATAAATGCTTAAATATCTATCAATGAATCTGTCAAACTGATCAGCCCTCAGTACTTCACCAATCAGCTTTAAGGTCTTCAAAGCACACTGAGAAATTTTATCTCAGGTTCAAACTGCAACATCTTTTCATTCAATAGATCTGAGAAGTTCGAAAGTCGCAGCTCGTCATCTCGGAGTGACGGTGGATCCCAAACTAAACGACTGTAGTTGAACTACAACTACAATAAAACAGGCTGATTATATACTGTCATTACAAGTCATTGCTTCACTAACATTGAGAGAATTTGCCTGTAGTGATTCAGCAAAGAAAACCTCTGTCCAATGTTGATCTCACCTCTCCAGCTGAGAATCCTCCTCGTACAGTGGAGACTGTGACACTGGACGACTGTTGGTTAAAGCCTCCCAGATGGTCACCTGAAAACCACCACACGTTTTTATATAGAAATATGAAAACAACAATCCAACCATCACAACATATTCTGTACTGCAGCACAACTATGTACTAGCACGTGTACATGAGACCTGAGTGATTATGATGAGTCACATATGGACAGACCCTCCATTGGTCACATGACCGTTGAACTCTGAGGTATTTGTTCATGTCACCTGGTCACTCTCCGTGCCGGCGTCCAGAAGACTCTGCTGGATGGCAAACTGCAGCAGGTTGTCGTCCTCGTCCCTCATGGGTTCGCTGCGACCAGGACCGAGGACGGTGTAGTCAGGAGGTGGCTCGAACACTGAAGGGTCCACTTCACAGTGGTCAGGAGGTGACTGACCTAAAGGGTCACAGGGTCAACGCTAACATCCGCTAACATGACTTTAATTTGTATACAAACACACAGCTTGAGAGTTTCGTTTGCTGTAAACACAACAAAATACACAAGGACTTGAGGAGTAAAATGTAAACAAAGCATAAAAAACCAAAAATATCCTCAATAAAAAAGTACTGTTCCTTCAGATGTGGTAGAATTTGGACTTGAACTGTAAAGTGTGTTTTTTCTCTTCAATTGTAAGGATGTGTGTGTGTGTGTGTGTGTCTACAGTTACCGGCCTCTCCTGGACTCTCTAGTTTGTGAACGATGACTGAAGCGACCGGCTCGTCGCAGCCACACAGGTTACTAAAGGTCACCCTGGCATTCAGCACGTGAAACAGGGGAATCTCTGAGAGAGGGGCGACAAATTGAAGAAAACAAATGACCCCATCATTTTAGAAACACTTTAGAAGACAGGGGGAATTATCTATTTGACTGATTTATCAATGCTGAATGTTGCATCATCAACTGTCACACTGCATGGGAATCCAACATGGTGGTGTCGCTTCTTCAAAGATTTTATGTCCCACTTTTTACAGAGCAATGACATTTACGAAAAGTTCAACATTTTTATTTCATCAGAACTTGATCTACTGAAGAAAAATATTTACCAAGAAGAGACAAAAAAAAGGTCACACTTTCTGTATTTAGTAAAAATGAAACATCTGCGTTGTCAAGTGCTCAAATTCCAAAGTCTGTGTTTGGTCTGTTCTTTTTTTATCTCAACAGAGAGCATTAAGACAATGTGTTGATATTCACTCGATTTACGGCTCATATTTAAGGTCCTGGGCTTCAGTTTTAAAACAGAATCGTATTGAATTTTTTATACAGTAAAACTAACATTGTCAAGATAATATACAGTACAGACGCAGTACTGTACCTTTAACTGTAATTTTAGACCAGTGTTTTTCAACCTTGGGATTGTGGCCCCCCATAGGGCGGCTTGGAATTCAAATAGGGTCACCTGAAATGTCAGTAAGTAATTTAATTTTCTTTACTAATTTTTTTTTTAATTACCAATAAAAACACCAAAGATAATAAGGGCATTCTTTCAATGTCATGAATATAAATTGAGTTCAAACAAATGACAGCATATAAAAATATTTAAGCCAGCGCATCTTGACTGACAGCTGTGATCATGTGACTGCTACTAAAATGTCTCTGGGTTGGGAACCAGTGGTTTACACCTCAACATAATATTTGTTTTACCCTCAGAGAGTTACCCTGGGATGATGTCTCACACTAACCTATCTTAACAGGGAAGCCTGGAGGCAGGCGTAGAGTTATGAAGTCCCTCAGTTTGGCGAAGTGAGCATTGGAGATGGCCATGAGGTCGATGATGGGCGTCACCTGTTCAGCCAGGGACAGAGGGTGAGTCTCACTCAGCCACAGAGTCGCTTTAAACCTGAAGAGAAAATATAAGTGAGATTCTTAACATTAGGTTTCCTAAAGCGATGATTCAATTTCGCTGTTTGTTTGATGCAGCATTATCAAACCTCTGCACTTTGCTGGTCAGTTCGATGGGACGCCCGATGTCCCGACCGTTCAGGTTAAAATCTGGGTCAAAGTATTCCTCAGACGTGATGGCTGTGGGGTTGTGAGGACTGGCACACTGGGACACGTTACTCTGATCAGAAAACAGTGACGCGTGTGTCAGAAAAAGACTGGGGCTGTACATTAACATACAGCAACAGGGAAATCTCCAGTGGTGTGATTGCTAAGGAGACCCTCACCCCATTGTGAGCTGTGTGCTGCTCAGCAATCCCCAAGAAAGACTGCAGAGGAGTCTTAGAGCCTGAGTGGAAACAACGTGTAGTGACTGTCAACACCATAATGTGTTTTTACTCCAAAGCAAAAGATAAATCTGAAGCTTGAACAACAGCATGTTCCAAGTCGAAATGGCTTTTCAACTATTTGTTTTGATTATTCTTATGTCTCGTGTTTGCACCGTCACCTTTGCTTCTTGACTTGTCCTGGTCAGACAGATGCTCTGTCCTGGACCGAGTCACCAGCTCCACATTAGTTGCACTGTAAACCTGGAAATATTTACCAAAAGAAGGGACATAGATTACACTTTTTATTGGATTTACACATTTTTTATTACGTTAAAAAAAAGAGGATAAAAATGTGGTTTGATAGAAAGATTTGATACTGGGAGGAGAGCACACGCCACAGTGCTGTACAATAATAATGATATATAAATGTAATATACATATAAACAAAATATCTTCTTCTTTGGGCTTTGTCCCTTTTTTTCAGTGGTTGCCACAGCAAATGTATATTAATAATATATTTATAAATAATTATTGTAAAATAATAAAATATTTATAAATAAAACATAGCTGTAATAAAAGAATAATAATAAAGAGTCAAAATATTTATATTTACTTATATCTGCATATTACTTTCAAAAATATCAAATGAGTTTAAACAGCCAATCCTGATGTGACTTCCGTTTGGCCAAGGACAAGAATAAAACATTTCCTGATGGTGTATACTGTTACTCAAAATTATCTTCGCTGAAAGATATCTTTTCCAAATTGAACTGTTTCAGTAATAATCTGTTGTCTGCTGACGCTGGTTTGCTCAGCAGTCACATACCTTGGCTTCATATCCACTGACCATCTCACTCTTCTCTGAACGCCAGCCCCAGATTCCCGACTTGTTCCTAATCAGAGAGGAAATAAGGGTTAATGTTACAGAGACTCGTTATATCATATATTATATATAAGTGCTGGTTGTAGAGTAAAGAAGTGTCTACTGGGTAAAAGGCATAATTTTGGTGGCAAATATGGATAACAGTTCTGTTTTTAAAAAAATAATTAAATGACAGAAGCAAAGAATTGAGTCCTGCTAACATTCTATTCTTTAATAACTCTGAGGTGATGTTCAGACAATATTCAGAAGATCTTTGGTTAATACAATATAAAACACCAAGTTAATAATAAGTGACTTCTTTATTTAGTTAATAAAGTCAGGCGGTTCTAGGACTCTGTACAGCTGGATTCTAGTGTTTACCGTTCAAAGGCGATGTTGCGTGTGTTGAGGTGAGTGGAGACGATGGGTGAAGTCAGTCTCTGTGCAGTGTTCTCCTGTGACGGCTGCATGGCTGCCAGGAGAGATGGAGCGTCACGAGGGGACAACACCAGTGGCTCAGTGTACACCACCTGCTTCTCATGGTCCACCTCCATCACCACTGCTCCATCATCTGTGGGAGTCATCAAAAGCATGAATCAGAAAAGCATGTTCAAGGCATCAAGAGAAGTTTAATGTAAAAAAAAAAAACTTTAATTCAGAAGAATCAACCACAGAGTGCACACCTCCACCCTTAAAAATATAGCTGCGCCGTCCCTTCAGCCAGGTCATGTGCTCGAAGCCAAGGAGCGTGGTGTCCACACGGAGACAGGAGCCGCTTTTCCACACCCTGTAGACGTCACTGGGACACACCTTTGACACCAAGGGCACTAAGAAGAAGGTTTCAATAGCACATCAGAAAAACATTGGCCGCTAATAATCACTGTCATGATGTGTTTTAAGACAAGGCGAGACACATTAATATTAGTATAGGACAAAGTGAAGTGAGTTTCCTGCTGTCTGTATGTTATATTCTGATGAAAAATATTTTCATGAATAAAACAGACAATTCTGCAGCAGCTGATGCTGGGGAGCTGTCCAGACGCATGGGTTCTGAAACTAATCTCTCTGGGAAAGCGTTCTTGTCTCCTATACGACAAATGCATTTATTGTAACCCTGAGTCGGTTTCATAAGACTCCCACAGTACACACTCACCCCAACTGGTAAACTCCCATTTCATCTCCACATAGAAATCCCGAGCCTAAAAGACAGAGAAGAGGGAAAATAGATCAACCAGTCTTTCGGTTGAAAACCTTTTTTAATTTTACCTAATTTTACACCAAAATGACATATAAAATGGGAAAATACAAAAATAGTCTGAACAATGCAGTAATCCAACTGTATCTGAAACCACAAGGGTGACAGAAAAACACTTTCATTAAAGAACAGATGTTGTTGATTTGTACAGCAGGTGATCAGGGGTCATTTCACCTGTCTCAGTTTGCTGAGCAGCTCAGGGATGCCCGCCAATCTTTCTGTGGCACGTTTGAAGTCTCTGTACTGAAGCACCAGCTGAACCAGCTCAGGATCCCCGGTGCTCACTGCCTCCTGCAAAACTAAAAAAATAAAAAGTACAGGATGAACATTTATTAACGTAGTGTAAACTTTAGAGAAGAGAGCCTGAACATTTCTAGGTACAGGAAATGTGTGCTCGACCTTAGCCTGTCTCTCCTTCTCTAACGCTGGGGAGAAATCCAAGCACAGCACATGATACTGAAGTATTCATATTACAATAATACTTTGAGACTGAAGGTGACTTGTCCTATTCAAAACCCCACTGACACCTATTTGAATGATTTTACGTTTAGTCAATAAAAACTTTATGGAAAAAATGTATATAATAAACTTAATTTCTAAGTTCAGTTTTCAGTGTTAATTTACTTAGAATTTACTTAGAATTACTTAGAAAAAACTTAGAATAACGAAATAGATCATACTTAGTGCCATTGTAGATTTCCACTGTCACAGAGCACGAAGAGAATGTGAAGAATAACGAAATAGATCATACTTAGTGAAGTGAAAAGGTGCCCAGCCCAAATATCTCTAATCTGAGTAGTCTACATCCAGGCCTGCAGTGGGAGTACTCACTGGTCCAGCCCTGTGAGTTGGAGTGTGTCGGGTCTGCAGCGTGTCTGAGCAGAACTCGGGTGGACTCCAGGTGGCCCAGGCTCACGGCCAACTCCAACGGGGTGCGCCCTCTGGGATCCAGGCGCTCCACATCCTGCTGCAAAAATAAACACAACAATCAACACAGAGCAGCGCAATGCAGTGCGACAAAACTAACGCACCTTAAAAAGCCCCCCCACCCCCAATAAATAAATAAAAGACATTTAACCCATCTACCTCTTTCGTCTGCAGCTCTCGGTCCAGTTCCAGGTACTGATTGTTCCAGACCAGAGAGTGTAAAGGAAAGGTTTCGTGTGCCATGTCTGTTAGTGACAGCCAGCCACAGCAGCGGGGCTGATTGCTGTTAAATGACAGGTTGCAGTGACACAGACACAGCGCTGAGCCGCACAGCTGATCCTTAGCCTTATAGCTACTTCGTAAACCGTTAAAATTCAGAAATATCAGTTGGAAAAACTACGAATAAGTAAAACTATCAAAATAGATACTGCTGTCTGTGCCTTTTAAATTAGTGGGCTGAGTTAGCCCCGGCTAACTCAGCCCACTAATTTGATGTGGTAAATGATAGCTAACAGCTAGCGGAGCTAACGATAGCTAACTGGCTAATAACACCATGGTTTCTCGCTCCTCTCTGCACCTGCTCTTCATTCTGACCACAGCAACGCGACCATTGCAGCGGGCTGTAAACGCACCTGCCTGCCACGACACATATAATTGTAAAATAAATGTATATTTTTTTAAAGCACAAAATAGCCCAAATAAGCTAGCTTTCTATTGATGCGGAGCCTCACATCAACTGTTTATATGGCATCGCTGTGAGGCACTATCAAAATAAAGGCAGAACGGACCCAGCCTAGGAAAGCGTCAGACCATGAGGTAAAGCGGACTTATGTAAATGTTACATTTCCGCACAAAATAAAGTTATACTAACATTAGGTTCTTCATTTCTGAGTGAAACTTGTCATCCAAAAAACACTTTAATAGAAATCAGCATTTCTTTCACAGAGTAAGTAGTTTTTTATAAATATATTTTATTGGATTCACAGGATCTAAACTGGCAAGTCTGACCTTAAACATGGACCTCCATAATGACGTTGGGTTTGTTCTCTATCATTCTTTTTTATATTTAAAGCGGAAACTTGCTGAGGTCAACAACATTACCAAAACAAAAACATTGTTTATTTGCATTTTCTTTATTTCTCTTGAAAAATAACAACATAAAGTGGAAAATGGTCTTCTGAAAATAATTACATTGCTACAGGACCCCGGTTGTGGTGGCAATCTAAGAGAGGAAAAACACATTTACACAAATGTATATATTTATATAAGTATATTCATTGAAAAGGAGAGCAGTCTGAGAGGAGACCAAAGATCATGAACCACCGGACCTGAATGAAAGAAAGAAACAAGAACACCCCCACTCAAAAGAATAAAACATGGCCATGTCATCAAAGAAAAGCATATACATATCTCATTCTTGGAAGAAAAAAAAATCAAAGAGGTGTGAGGGAGCAGTTTCATCTAGATTATTAACATTTTTGCTCTAAATAGTCTCTGTACAAAAACAAAACAAGAGGAGTTTGGAAAGAATAGCACCTGAAGTCTAATGGTTGTTTAAAAATGCACCTTGAATCAGACACCATATCCTTGGCTAAACCCGTACACTTAGTGCAAATCACCCCTTTCCATGTGTCCAAGTCCACTGCACTGGGTTTTTTCTATTTTCCTGTACTGCACCACCACATTCAGTCCATGTAGACGCATCACTGACACTGGTGAACTGGGCCTGTACAAGAAGACCTTACTGAGCTGAACACACAGCTGGTAAACACAGGCCAGTCCAGTGACCCACTTTCCCAAGTTAATGTGTGGAAAAGGTGTCACCTTTTACACTCATGTCAAAGAGGGAAAAAAAGCCATCATTAGACTTTGTAACAATTGCTCTCTTAAATCTGGACAAAAATAATCTATCTGCAGCACCAACAAGCTGAAATCAAATACATTTAAATGTGCCATATGAAAAATAAGACTTTATAGCAACATGCTTTTTCACACATCATTTAATCCCAACTTAACTCCCTCTTAAAACAGCTCCTGAGTGTCTTTAAGGTACACAGGCAAGTGTGTAAAACAAAGAAAAGACCGTGACCAGCTGTGGCATCCCCGTGTCCATAACACCTGCCAAGTGGTTCCGCCTGTGACTGTGTCCCCCAGACTCATGTCTGGACCCGCTGCCCTCACTTGTGCCACCCCATATCTGCCCCTCCACTAAAGAGGCATTTGTTTAGGATATCCTCTGGATCAGCTTGTCATCTGATAGGCAGTAGAGTGTGTTGACCGACAGCTCGGAAATAAAGGCCTCGCAGGCCTTACGGGAAACCCCTTCACAACCTCGCAGGTCGAGAAGTGAGATGCAAGAGAAGCGGCGGAGATACTTCAGACACGTGTCTGTCAGTTTACTGCAGCCTGGAACACAAACAGGTGAAAAAACTCAGAGGTGGTAAAACAAAAAATGGATGTGCATCATTACAATTCCCATTACCACAAAGTGGAATATATGTAAAATAGGAATGGTTACTCTCTAGGAGTCTAGACCAAAGTACAGTATTTGCACCAACGTTCAGGAAATGGGGGTTGTGCATTTGCTGAATCAATCAGTGTTTTACCTCCGAGGTTCAGTTCTGTGAGTGTGTTTCTGGTGGATGAACCAACTGCTGTCAGCAGGTTGATGGAGTTGTCGGTGAGGCTGTTGCAGTGGGAGAGGTCCAGCTTTGTTAAATGGGGCATGTGACGGATCACCAGGCGTAGGGTGGGGTCACTGATATCCAGGCCAGCAAGTCGCAAACACTGCACAGTCCGCAGCTGACTGCGATTGTCACAGCCTGGAACAGATATGATTTTAGAAGTATTTTACAAGAGAATTGTTTTTATTGTCAAAGCTAAAACAGTGGGTAAAAAGACACGGATGATGTGTTTCTTACCTGGAGGACTGATGAGATCCCTGATCTGAGGGTCTTTGACACCGTCTGCATATCGCAGATCTAGGGAACGGAGAAGAGGCCCAGCAGAGGAGCAGAGGGCAGATATAGACGACCACGCGCATCCTGCCAGCATTAGATCCTTCAGCCCTGCATAGAACAACATTCAAACCACTGTCATGTCATCTCAGGTCCACACCTACAGGAAGACAATACAATAAACACCTGCTGTTGCTGGCAAGTCTACATACCGGGCAGTCGGCCAACCAGCCAGTTGAGTTGCTTTTTTGAGATATTAGTCCATGAGAGATCGAGTGACACAGGCTGTCTTTTTATGATGCCGGTCAGGGCCTGAGGAGTAACAGTGCACTTGACACTCAGGTCAATCCGCGTCCAAAGCCGCTTGTCTAAACACCTGCAGATTAGCACATACTCGTGAGGATTAGATCAATTAAAACTTGCTGATCAAGTCCAAATCCTTTTAAACTCCTCTCTGAATACCATTAGGGATTTTGTTCTTTACCAATTGTGTAAAAGGGGCAAACGTAAATAAACAATTCTTGCAAATTGAAGCTGTGGCATCACTTTGTCGAAAGGCCAAAAAGGATAAAAACAACAAACTAATTGTACAAATTACTGAGCTGTATAATAAACCCAACACCAACAATAATAAAGAGATAGCATTGGAACCAGACAAAGCAGAAAAGGTGGTTAATTTAATTTAGTGTGAAGAGTTTGATTCTATTGGTTTGAGAAAAATAGGGTTTGAATTATTAAGCACTTTTGAACACTCCTGAAAAACACTTGTACTTAGGAACACATTTTGATATAAACTTTTTTCAGACAACACCACACATACCTTTGGAGTTTCCTTGTGAAAGGGTTTTATATCAGTGTTTCTTTTTAGTCGCCATCAATTGCAGGAACTCTTACCAGAAATTTCACAAAATGTCAAGACTTCCTTTTAAATTGTGCTTTCACAAGTTGGTTTGTTTTTTTAATTCATGGACAACTTAGCAGAAAAATTTTCTTGATTACCTATAATCAGCCAAGCTTTTCTAATTAGGGTGTGTTCTTTCAAAAATGGGGTTATAATAAAAACGTTTTGGTAAACTTGGTCCTAGATTTTTGCACAATGGAATTTTCAGCAGATAGCATGTAATGCTAAAAGCTTAAACCCTTTGTCCACTACACTATGGGAAGGAGAGGAGAATAAATCTGATGAGTGAAAAAACAAGGTATGTGAATTACACAAAAATATATTGTTCCTTTTTAAAAAAAGAGACTTTTCTAATAAAGTGTTTTCACCACATTACTCTTACCATTTGTACCAGTTCTTGCACACAGCCATGCAGACGCACAGATCTGCTCGACTTAAGTAGCGGAAGACAGACACCCATACATCCCTCTCACACCCTGGGCCACTCAGTCCACTGTCCCGGTCTGCTTCACCGCCTCCTCCCTGCAGCGTGGACAGAGGGATTCTGGGGTGTGTAAAGTCTGATGATGAAGAACAGGAAGCTCCATTGTTCATTTTGGCTGACCTGCTAGTCTTCGTTTTTTTAGTGGCCTCCGGTCTCTCTGGATGGGGGTTATGAGTAGCTGCATGTCCACTGCGTAAATGTGGGGGTGTTCGTCTGCTGGAGTGCTGATTGGGACAGGGCCCTCGATTTCTGATTGGTGGTCTGGGAAGGATTCTTATCGGTTTGTGTATCGTGGAAGGAGCAGTCTGAGGGGTGATGGCCTCCAGTTTAGGAACGATGGCTGACGGGTCCTGTTTGGCCTTGCTTGGCCTTTGGAGCGTCACTTTCTGATAGGAGCCGTCCTTGTCCTTTGTTTGTCCCTCCTGCTCCATCTCCTCCTCTTCCTCTTCTGGACAGTTTGCGTTGGCCGCCTCCATGGCTTCCTCCTCTCCATCTTTGGTGACTCCTTTTTCCGACTGAGGCTGGTTCTCTTTATCACCACCTCCCATGTTGCTCTCCTCCCTCTCCTCTTCCTCTTCACTGCTGCTGCTGCTGTTAGTGCTGCTGCTGCTACTATCTTCACTCTCCTCCTCAAGGTCTCCATGGCTTCTGCTTCCAACTCTTCCCGCTCCTCCTCCTCGCAGCCTTACACCTCTACCCTTCCCTCTACGGGGTTCTCCTTTAGACTGAAGTAGCAGACTGTGAGAAGACTGTTGCTGCAGCTGCTGGAATGACCTTGTTCCTCCTGGGGAGCTGCTCATCCACATGGAGCCTCGACCCCTGTTCTGAGACAGCCTGCTGGTGGGAGAGCGCAACCGAGACAAGAGCCTGGAACTTAGAAGTCGGGAAGAACGATCTAGTGATGACTGTTTCTGTTGAGAGAAAGAGATTGTTGATGCTTTACATACAACATTTACTGATACAAGACAATTTAAAGGCAGAAATTTCCACAGAAAGTATACAAGAACATATGTCGCATTGTCTTGTTGTTACTCTTACACTCAGGGCAGTAAGTGAAGGATTGTAAGGTACTGCATGAACAAAGAAAGTCGGACTTCATGGAGCGTTATGACTTACAACAGCTGTGTCCACCTCCTCGCATCCACTATGAAATATACTATAGAATAATTTGCTATTTATATGAATTGTTATTTAGATGCAAGAGATGCAATTAAGTAGCTACTGTAGCTACTATATTATTAGAGTGTGACTTCAATGCAATAAAGACTTTTGTGGGACACCGTGATTTACTTACCACTAAGAGTTTGCTCCGCTCGAGCTTCATCTGTACGGGAATAAAAATATTCTTAGATTTTTGCAGATGTTTACCGAATACTACATATTAATTATTATTATTAAATATGACAAAAAAAATATTTACCTTCTTTTTTAGTCTGAGCTCCAGTGCACTTGCTCTTTTTCGATTCTCTTCATGCTGCAGTAACAGCTTCTGCGAAGGTGGTGGCGCTGTGGGTCTTGACTGAGGTTTGTTCTGTCTTGCCCCCAAAGAGGATGAGGCTTCTGACTCTCCACTCTCTTCATCACTGGAAGACTGGTGAGTGAAAGATTAGTTCATGGAAGTGAATCAAAATATTTTTGCATGAGATCGTGCATTATGTTTGCAATGAGACACAAAGGCACAAAATGACAATAAAACCTTAAAATATATATGTATCATCACCTCTGATCCTGAACTTTTGCCTTGGTAACATTTGGGGCATTCCCAGCAGCTTGGCAGATCTTTGTTGATCTTTCCTTCACCAGGTTCCTAGTAGAACAAGAAGAGAGACGCAACTGAGCTGCCACTAGTCTGTTAAAACATTCATTTTTCAATGTATATGAAGTACAATACCTTGATGCACTGACGATGGGCAATTTGTGAGCAGACAGAACACTCCATGAGTGAGTTACCGCTGAGACCTGTTTCATCTGATTCGCCTTCTCGACAGATGGCACATCGAGCAGTATTGGGTAATGCCGGCTATGGGATTATATGAATGACAATAATAATTAGTTTACAACAGGGTGCCACTACAAACCATGGTGAATCACATTTTTACCCAAATGAATAACCATTGGTCAACAATAAAATTTTCACATTTTAATTTCGACACTTAGATAAAAAATTATATTTAGGGTTATCCTCCTAAGTTTTGTTTTTCATTTTCTTTGGTGTACTCACCAACAGCAAGCAGGGTCACCAATAATTTTGTGTATTACACACTAAGGTATGTATTCACGTGTTTTCTATAACTGCTTAGCTCAGCTCCTGTCTCTGCACCAGAAGTTAAAATACCTCCAAATTGCTGGATTGGCTCATGTTTTTGAGTACGAGTATTTAGGCATGGCATCAACTCTTGTAACATTATTCGGTTACACAGGACTTACCGTTAGACACTGTCTCATGATGCAGCCTTTCTTCATGCGTCCAGACCCACCAAACTTCCTCATGTCCTGACAGGCATGGCAGGAGCCACACTCATACCTGAGGCATCCAGCACAGCGCTTGCATCTGACTCGCCTACGCCTCAAGGCAGAGATGTTGGAGTGCTTCTTGCTCTTGGACTTGAACGGCACAGAGACTGGGCGAGGACGGTAAAGGATGGGTGGAGGTGGGGCTGGTGGGTGGTACCATGACGGCTATATTAAAGAAAAGCAGACAAAAACAGATTTAAAAGGTGTCACACCAGTTGATAACAGTTAGGTTAGGTTTCATGTTGAACTGCAGTCGAAGATAATATAGGTCACACGTGTCAAACTCAGGCCCGGGGGACAAATCTGGCCTGCAGTGTAATTATATTTAGCCTGTGAGATCATAAAAAACGTGTACTACAGTTGGCCCACCAGTTTATAGAGAAATAAATTAGTAAATAAATTTCTATCATAAGTAGTGACTAATCAAATATCAATATCTTAGATATGCACTTAAACTTATCAGGTAGAATGCTACAAAACACAGAACTTACTTAAACTTTATTTTTCTTAATATAAACGTTATTAAAGTATCATTCATACAACAGGAAAATTAAAAAAAGAAAATTAATTCAACTCACCCTTTTGGGCCACTTAACAATGGGCTTTCCAGTGAAGGACAGCTTAGGGTCATCGCTGGCATGTTCCATCAGAATTTTCTGTAACGGTGGGGAAACAAAAATAAACACAAATTCCATTGTTTTGCTTCCTGCCGTTTGTAATGTTTCCTGCCATGTCAATCCTACCATGGCCTTCGGTTTTTACCAGTTTCTGCTATTACTTTATACTGAGTGAAGCACACAAATTGTAGCAAACCTGCATGTAACACTGCATGCTATCACAGCTATTTGTTGGGAAGAAGATTTAAGTGTTGATGAACTTGTAGTCAGAATGCTGTATTAAAATGTGGAGGGCTGTATTTGTGTGCAATCACAACTTCCTAAAACTTTTATTAGATTTTTTATAATATAAAAATAACCTGAAAACTAAACAATGCCTCCTGTGTTTCTTTATTTAGAGAAAGGTCACAAAGCTGGTAGTGGTCTTTTTCTTTATAGGTAGAAAGCTATGCTGTATGTAGACCTTCTTTGAATTAACTGAAAAAAATGGAATAACACCTACTTTTATGTCCTCAAGCAAGGCTGGTGGATTCTGGATTCCTGCAGGGACACATTTTTTGTGTGGTGGCAGCTCCTCCAGCTTCCCAACAAGGTTCCAGAGTCCCTCCAGCTCAAAGGGCGTCAGCTGAAATTTGGTAAGAGGAGCTTCTTCTTCTTCTTCTTCTTTTTCTTCTTCTTTTTCATTTTCTTCTTCGGCTTCTCCCTTGATCTCTGGTTTGTCAGGCTCACCTTCAACTCCACTGGAGTTGTCTATTCCAGGACTGGGATCGATGTCACTCTTGGTCAGTCCTGAGAAAATAATGCATGTGGTAGTTAAAACATCTGTGTAAAAAACAGCAATTATAGAAAGACAGCAATGTTTTCTTGAATATCTGTCAATACTTACCTATGCCAAGGGAGTATTTTTGGAACTCAGGTGTGAGGTGTGAGGTTTTAGTGAGGCAGTACAAGTATCTCTCCAGGACGTACCAGCAGATCTGATAGAAGAAAGGATAGCGGAACTTTGTTGGCACCTAAGGAAAGAAAAGGGAAGCAGGATATGACAGTAATATTATTAAATATTAACCAAAAATATAAACTTTGTGACATTCCTTGAGCATTTAGCTTAGTGAAAAAATACCATAGGTTTAAAGTGACAAACGCAAGGAAAACAATCCAACAGTAAAGATTAGCACTGTAAAGTAAAAAGGCGAATCAGTGCAGTGTTCAAGTGGGGTGAATATGAGGAGCTGCTCACTCGTGTGCGATCCTCAATGCTGTAAATGTTGAGCTGCATTGGGATGTTGAAGCTGTGCAGAAAATTTCCACCAAACACCAATGTGTCTTCTGGAGTATACACAGCATGGATCCAACCTTCAACGAAAGACAGGAAATTATCGAGGGTCATCTAAATGTGAATACAACTTAAATTAAATGATTTGCTGTATACAATAAAAGACCTGATGGGATTATAAAGGTGTTGCCCTGGAGGAGTTGTATCCTCTGACAATCGTAACACTTGTCCCCCAGAAAGATGTCTCCCTGCTTTCCTGACAAAACCCAGTTCTCGTACATCTCCAGGTTCTGTGGTGTGGGTGGAATCAGCCAGAAAACCTGCAGGAGTTGTGGATCAATTGAGTTAATGCTGATCAGTTTTGTTTTGTTATTTTTAAAAGTGTGACAAACTCTTTTCACATAAGAGATCCACTCTGACCTTTCTTCCTCGGAGTATGTGATACCAGACCGAAGTGCCTCCAAAGTCAATGTGGAAGTCAGTGAAGCAGCCCTGCACACTCATCAGACAGTACCTGAGAGGTGATCAGCAGAGATAATGTAGTATCACATTATAGATAATTAAGTTTTACAACAAAGCAAATGTTACGTTGTAAGGTTTGCAGGTGACTCACTTCTGTACTTTAGGGTAATGCATGTCCATGATGGCATTAGTAGAGTCTGTCTGTCTCTCCTTCAAATGTCGGGGCCACATGTTGTCCACCCAGTCAATTAGATCCACCTGCACAAAGAGTTTAGTATAAAAATAACCATTCCAAACCAGATAAAATATTGTTTAAGACAACTTAATACATTTACAGACAAAAGCAGCAAAAACACTGCTGTGTGAAATCCTCACCGAGGCTGGTCGTTTGACGAGGTTCTCCAGTTTGGTGTGGCTGAACTCCAGACTGATGACATTATACAGTTTTTGCCTCTCTGATGGTGGCGTCTCGTAATAGCGCCCCCACTGAGCCATCGACATCTCGATGCCTTTCTGCGTGTTCACGTCCATCACATCCACGATGCGTCGACTCCCTGCAGGTAAATTGTAAAAGATTTGACACATGGGAAAGTGTAAATAAATATATGTACTGCTTTAAATTTTAAAGCTACTCATTTAGTGTAAAACTATGAATATTTATCGAACCTAAATCATTACAAAATCCTCCGCAAAACCTTCAATGGTATTTTACATAAAACAATCCGTTTGTTCTGAATTGGAATTTTGAATTCACAGTATTTTACATATCATTAGTAGACATCAGCCTGTGATCCTAGTTTGGGCAAAGAATATTGTTCACATGTGATTTTGTAAAAGCAAAACTTACCAACAAACACCTTGACATCACTCACACTGAAATCAGGGTCCGGCATTCTGCAGAAGAGAAAAACATCCTTTCTTTAAATTTCTTAGATATCTGTTACAAGTGATTTAAAGTAAAACAAAAAGATAAAGTCACAAGTAAAAAAACAAAAGCCAATAAAAAAAAGGTAGTAAATATCAACTCACTCTAAGCCAAGGCCATCTGGTGTGTTAAAGATAATGGGTTCCCTGAGCCCTTCCCTCTGAATGTACTCAAATGTAAAATCTACAGGGGAACCAGCAAGGCAGGGTATTGTTAGAATATAGGTTACACAATGCTTAATTTTGTTTGCATTTGTGTTAAGAGGATTCATTTCACCTTTGCCCTCCATGTGTTTGACCAAATTGGTGCCAAATCTTTCACACTGCAGTTTTTCATCCAGGTCAAACATGCGTTTTCCTTCAATTTCATCATCTGAGATCGCATCATCTTCATATCGTCGCCGCGTACCTGTTCGCTGAGGATGAAATGGGGTTTATGTTATCGCTTTGTCACACATGAATATTAACAAAAGAACAGAAGAGAAAGCTGGGATAAGAATAAGAAAAATTTGCATTATCTCAAAACAATTTTCGGTAACCACTTTGAAGAAAAATATTATTAATAAAATATACATTTTGAATTCAGTGAAGAAACACAATGTATTAATTAAGTGAGCCTCAAAATCTGTTCATGGACAAACCAAACAATACAACATGCAATAGCTGGGGTTAATCTTTCACACACAGCCCCTCCTCAACTCCCCTCCTGCCATTCACTCTAAGCAGCATGGCTTGGATAGACAGATGAATTGAACACCCCCACTCTAACACCACCCCACCCCCATTGCTTTACGAATTATTTAAAACTGACCATGTTTAGATTCTGATTGGTTTTACATTTAGATTTAAATTGACTAAATGACATTTAGAAACACAAAAACATACAGCGAGCCAATAAATAAAAAATATTAAATATTAAATATTTTGGTGCATTTGTTTAAATCAGTTAAAGATTTTTAAAATCGTGAATAGTAGAAACCAAAAGTATCCATTCAGTTTTAAGAGTAGTCTCGTCATTTAACATTTCTTTGCTTTAAGATTGTATGGTGTCTGTCTACAGGTTACTGCAATCATCAGACATATGCTTGGGGAGTTCAACACTATAAAACGTATCATTTCCTACAGTACTTTATTATTAGTAATAAAAAAATCATTAAATAAATTCAATTAAAAAGCAGTGGTTATTAATTATAAGCACTGGTTTTTACATCCAGCCTTGGATGCTAGCACTGAGTGTATTCAACAAAACGCTACATGGACTGTAGACTGGCGAGGTCCTACAGCAGCCAAAGGGCTGCAGAGGTTGGACAGTGAACTTGACCTTATCTTGAACCCACAGTCGTTGAACAGGTTCATTACCACTATTAAACGGGTCAACAAAACAGAGCAGCGCTGCCTTGCCAATCTACCACAGGGAAATGGATCATTTAAATTGAATTCACTAATCGCGATTCGATGAACCGCTTCACGGTTGTGAAACAGCTGTTGGCAAACGTACGAATGGACAATTCAAAGTTAATATAATGTAAATGTTTAAGAAGCTTTTTAAGTCACTCACCAGGCGTTTGCTGTACCGTGTATGAGGATCCTCCATGGTCTGTGGAGAAAAATGCAAAGTTTCAAGAGTGGCAAAAAGCCATCGGTTAAACAAAATGATATCTGCATTAATGTTTACTTTATTTAAATAGCATGTTCCTTCATATATTGTCCCAAATACACAGATAGGTTGACGTTAGCTTCCAATGTAGCATTAGCTTCCTTGCTAAGGTTACCGACACCAAATACAATTACCAACACTAACGACAAAAAGGCGTTGTTTTGCTACGATAAGTGTATACTTATGTGAACCCGTTGGACAGAAATAATATTTAAACTGCGTTCATCCTCTCACGTTATTTATACATTTGGGACTAGTGGACTACTAGCCCTGTTGTCAATTCCTTTCAAAGATGCTAACGTTAGCCTGCTAGCTGCATTAAGCCCATCTCTGGCAGTTCTTTGAGCTGCTTTATAGTTACCTCTGCGTCTTAGTTCCTTTTATCCGCTGAAGCCAAAGTAATGTCTCCCAGCTAGAGTGCCCGAAGACTCTCGCTAAAGTTCCTCCCCATGTTATTGTGCTAGTAGCTGTATGTGTGTTTGATGTTTATTATTATGGTGGGACAAAGTTAGAAGGACTCGACGCTCCGAGCCGCCATTTTCAGCTGGGCAAATAACACACACGAACACATAGACATAGATATACACACAAACCAAAAGAAAAAAAAAATGGAGAACCCGCCCCCTTATTTACATCACTGCTCGTGAACGTTTGCAAAGGCTTGCTTTTTATTGGACACTGTGTGTGCTCTTTAAACATGATTAGCATATGCATAAATGGAGATGCGCTTGGTTTAACCAACTCGAACGTTTTTTCTTTCCTTCGGTAATATTTGTAAAAGTTTCATTTAAACTATTTGTGTAATAATATAATATAATATAATATAATATAATATAATATAATATAATATAATATAATATAATATAATATAATATAATATAATATAATATAATATAATATAATATAATATAATATAATATAATATAATATAATATAATATAATATAATATAATAACATAATATGCTTCATTTCCTTTTTTAGTTCCAGCACTCATTTGCATGCAAGATGAATCAAGATACTATACTGATATGCAAACATCTATGTATATTCAAATTTGTCCAAATTATTATTTACTTGTCAGGTTAATTGGTTGTTTATAGATTTTATAATATTTCATATGAAACACCATTTATATTTGATATTGTCTATTATTTGCTTTAAATACATTTATTTTTGCTCCTATGTTTCGTCACGTTGTCCTTAACTATTTTAAATATTCAGTGAGGTAAATAAATTAGAATTCTTTAACCCTTGTGTGGGTAATCGTGGTTCTAATACACGATGAAATTAAAAATATTTACGCTTCCTCAATTTAAGGAGAAGCAAAAACGAGCGTATCCCTGACCAAGGCTCACCCACTGTGTGTGGGCGGGGTTAAGAAGCAGAATGCGATGGAATCAGGTCAGAAGTGTTTCTCACGTCACAGGCGTATACACCAGGCAGACAGTGGTTACGGACGGCAGTAAAGCAAAGCTTTAGTGATGTAATGCAGGAAAGGGTCAGTCGTTCCGTCAGTTAATGCGTGTGCACTGTAGTAGCAGTAGAGAAAAAAAAAACACCAGTGATCTTGTGCAGAAGTCGTTTATTACATAACAGACCTTACTGGATCTAGACGTAAGAGACAAAATCATCACATTTTATAAATCATACAGTGTCATTGTTTTAAAGTGTATCACACGAATTTCAATGCAGAGCAAATTTTATTTTAACAGCATCTTTGAACGTAAGATCGTGATTTTTATAATCGTTATAAAGTTATTTCACAAAACATTAAATATTAGCGCATATCACCAATAACTATGCTACTTGTGATTCATTCCTGATTAGTACATAGTACAGGTCGTAAAGGTGGAGGAGATTAAGTACCTAGGGTCAAACATCCAAATAAATGGACAGTGCACAGAAGAGGTGGAGGCACGTGAGTGTAAAACTATGACTATAAAGGGTGATTTGCAAGAGAGGGACATTTTAGAGGAAAGGGTTATGGGAGATCTAAATGAGGTTTTTTACTGGGAGCAACAAGGATGGACAGGATTAAAAATGAGCAGATAAGAGGAACAGCTAAGGTTGAGCTATCGGCCATGTTTGCAGAAGGAAGGGAGAGGCATATTACCCAAAGTACACCTCCCTGTAGTAAAAGACACGCATTACCAACTTGGAATCCTGTGTAACTAAAAGGAACAAAAAAGAATGTGGAAGATTTAAAAAACAAAGGATCAAACAAAAAACAACACTTGTATTCATCAACAAAACTCCAGCTAGGACGTTGTCTTCAAATTCAAAAGTGAGAGAAGTATACAGTAGAACGACATCCAGAAGGCCAGAGAAACTGTATTTGACTGGATGACTAAAATCACTTAGAAAATGAGTGGAGTGAAATCCAGAACAGGGTCCATGACAAACGACCGATAATATTGTTTTCAATAATAATTTGGTTTGTAACTATTTCAAAAGCACAAACGTCACCTACAAAACAAACACACATAGTAAGACCACATTATAAAAAAGAAGGGTTGATGTAGGATAGACTGGGTCAACTGCTGTAATGTCACTTATTCCAATAATAATAATCATTTTCAAAACTGATTCCAGTAATGGTAGGATAAAATACAGGAGCAGTCCAGAAGTTTTTTTTTTCTTGAAGATTCACTTTTCCCTAGATAAGAGTGCACACACGAAGACAAAAAAAAAAGTTTAGTTGAGTCACTGGAGATTTCTGTATACATTAGACACTAGTGTAGTCGTTTACCTGTGTGAAACATTTATGAAAAGAAGCTGTAGAGATAGGAGAAGCCAACAATGCCAATGATGACACAGCACAGAGTAATCATCATCTTTTTCTGCAGAGTTAAAGAGAAAACAGTTGTCAGACCGTAGTCACACACACACACAGGAACATCACAATAATTCACACCAACAGACACAGCAGTCAAAGGAAATGACCAAGCAAAAGGAGAGTGGAGGATGAGGGAGGGTTTGGTTCTTATGTTTGTGTGTGTCAATGTAAGTGCAATGTGTAGAGATAAAAAAAAAAACAAAAAAAACTTACCTTCTTTTTTTTCACCCCTCTTTAAAATGCATGTTTTATACAGAGTGGTTAAAGTGTCATAAAAAGCACATGCATTCATCACAAATGTGTTCAAACATAGTTACACAGTTACTTTAGTGCTGACAACTATGAAAAACCTGAAGCCTGTTCTGACTAAACAGTTACTAGTAAAAAATGTCGTTGATATGCTGCTACTGTATGTTGATGTCAATGTTGTTCCTTGTTGCAGACCAGTGCATCACAGAAAAGCAGGCATAAAGAAACAAAACAAAAACAAAAAAACAACAGAAATGTAACAAGTCGAGACCTTTCCTACTGCACAGTAAATGCTTCCTTCATGCTCTGTTTGACAGGAACAAAGACTTCATCCAGTGACGGTGGCTACAATGGAGCTCGCTTTTTTCTGTTGGCCATCGGAGGAAATAATGTATACGGTTACAAAACCCATATCCAGAGAGGTTTGTACACAAAAATGTTACATGAAGAAAATGTAAATAACGTACACTGGTTTCCTCTTACAGTCATGCAGCGGGTTCATAGTTCACTCTAAATTGATCATGCATGTCTGAGCTACAGTATACAGTATGTAAGTATACAGGCTGTATATAAGGCCTTGTGGATTGGTTCCAGCTCCCCCCACGACCCTAAAAATATTTGAGCTTTAGATGATGAATGAAAGTTGAGCAATGAACTGGCAGAGGAACAAAGAAATACTTCATTTAGAATGTAGACACAGCAACTCTAGTAACTGAAGACACTAACCTAAGGGGTTGCAGCTTGAGTGTTATTGTTACACTGTAATAGATCTGAGCTTCTCTGCAGTCTTTGGTGACTGTTGACTGGTCCTCCTCCTCAGGATGCATGTGTTACTTTGTTTCTGAAACTCTGCCAGATTAAAAAAAAGTTTATTTGAACTATAAAATTATGTACAGCATTATTATTAGTGTTTGTTTTGGGATCCAGGAAGTGTCAAAACTTCTGATAACAGCATTCTATTTTTTACTGTGCAATTTTTTTTAGATTGGTTAGATCAGGCATGGGCAAACTAAGGCCCGGGGGCCGGATGCGTCCCGTTCAACTAATTAATACGGCCCGCCAAACTTTTCCAAATTATATAATTTATTTATATTATTATTATACTGCTGCCTTTCTGCTGTAATACCCATGTTTCCCTAATAGATGGTGTAGAAAATGATAAAAGCATTTTAGCCTTTATGCAGGACTTTTACATGTCATTTATCTTAGTTCACATGAACACTCCATCTATCTGCTCCTGACTCGGCCCCCCGTTCAATTCTAGGACAATTTTGGCCCACAAGTCAAAAAGTTTGCCCACACCTGGGTTGGATGATTATTTCTATACAAAACACAAAAACATGAAGGCACGTATTATTTGAAACACTTCGTACTGAATGCCAAATTATAAGGTACGTATGTTCACCCCATAAAACACCATTTTATTCACTAAGTGTACAGCATAGGCTCCACCTGTTCATCGGTTTGTCATTAAGCTGACAAACATTAAAGACACCTAGTGGACAGAGTGTAAAACAACTATAAAGTATGTATTGATGGAAGGAGGATCTCTACTGTTTCATTTATTATTTGTCTGTCAAATGTTGAGGCAGATGCACCTCCTAACACCAGTTTCCAAATAAACAAATATTTGACCATTCATAATAAACAAACAAGAAAATATCATTTATCACCTGTCGTCATCTAACGTGTTTAAAGTCGAATTTCAAAGAGAAGTGAACAGAAGCCAACTGTACACAACAAAGATAAAGAGCCAGCAGCTGGAGACCGACACTTCCTCCTGTGGGTGTGACTTTATTAGCAACACTTCATTAAACTATACAATAAATACATAAACCACTTAGACATTTATATTTTCTATCTGCTTCTGTCTAGCATTACAACATATTCTTTCATATATATTTTTCTTTGTTTTTTGGGTAATAATTTTCCACTGTGTAAACAATCGCTCCTGTTTGTACAGTATGCTCATTGTAGCTTCAAAGAATATTAGTCTTCATTAACTTAAAGCCACAGTGATGGAGCGTCTTGAAAATTCATAGGTGAGCTCACCGATCCTCCTCAAGGTAAATAAGCATAATAAAGGTCACATACGCAAAATATAATACTATTATTTACATAATTTTGATTACAGTTATGTCTTTTTTTTTACATGCAAAAGTGCTGAAAGTCCAAGTCAAGATAACAGAACAATGTGACAGTGAGCATATAGTCGCTAGCTTTACAATCATTAATGTGTCAAGGCTCATAAAGGAGAAAGAAATTAACTCTAGAGAGGTCATGTGCTTTGACAAAAACCTATTGGAAATGACATAAAAACACACTTCACTAAAACAAACACTTCCTGGTGGGTTCTTTGGCAATGGATGCAGAACAATGAAATGTTTAGTGACACTAGTGAAATTAAGATGAAATTATTTTTCACTTCCCTTTTCACCCCTGCACACCACAGGTGTAGTAGCTACAGTATCATTTCCTCATCAAAAGTTGAACATCCCCCAAACTGCCCCCAGTCATAGAGGAAGGATATCACCAACTCACACAGCACAGAAGAGAAGGCAGGGGCGGAAGATGATTGGCTGAAGGGGTTCACAGGTTTTTTTGAAGATTCAGTCTGTTTTGCTTTCGTTCACGTCAAAATGTAACGTGATGCCGTTCTGTGCAGATTTAAAAAACAATTAAAGTAGCTTTGATTTAATGGTTTATACAAACAGTTTGTGGATGAAATGTGATCACGTCCCTCTGAAGGACCCCGAAATGAAACTTTTCTTTGTTGGGTCAACTGATGGACAGGAAAGTGGAGTGATGGCGAATGAGTCAGTAATGGTTCTAACAATGAGGTCCATTCAAAAAAGAAATGTGAAGATGAAGATGAGGAGTGTGACCAGAGCCATGGCACGGGCTGCACCACAGCAGGTCAACTTCTACAGAGAGATGGAAACACAAAGAAAATGACGGTTATGTTCCTGTAACACTGAGGAGACATGAGTCAAGTCAAAAAATAAAAATAAAGTAAACAAACATTGGTCTAAACCATGTCTGACTAATTCATCACCTGTGGGGTTGGTTTGTTTAGTAGTTAAGTAACCTGAGGTGACTCATGTGAAGAACCACACCCCAGAAAAAAACATACAAAACAATATAAACACACCCGGCCGACACTCGCAGCCAATAGAGCGAACTGACACAAACAGAGACAACAGTTGTTGTTGTTGTTTTTTACTTCGAAGTTACTCACCCTGAGACTCCTCCCACTCAGACAGTTCATCAGCTTTTCTGTAGCCCAACTGATAAACCGATAATAAGAGCTAGAACAGCCAGCAACACCGCCACGACCACTGCTAATATGATCATTTTCTGTTGGGAATAACCAACACAACATGTTTACCACCTTGGCACAACTGAAACAATATTTTTTTTTGTCATATACAAATGATAAATGATAAAAAACTAAAACTAAAAACTAAATTTGCAGCAAACAGCAGAAACAGTAAAAATGAAAACAACGATTACAGCTGAAGAGAGAAGAAACAGAGAGAAGTTTCATGTCCGTCATGTATGTGGCTGTAGGAGCTGTTGGTGTTTGTTGAAGTTGGTGTGTTTTTGGTGCTGGGTGGGTCACAGTGGTTTTTAAGGGTCAGACATTCACAGACCACGTGGGTTGTATAAGACTTGGGGACACAGCCGGTAGGACAGTTGGGGGAGTGGTCACTGGCAACAAGGTTAAATTCTCTACACTGTCAGTCAGATTTCTCAAAAGCATTTACAATTTTTATAAAGCTTCAAAACACTCACTCGCATTGATAACACGAACAGGCGACAGATATAAAAAAAAGTTTGACACATCTACGTCTTTGCTGAGATGCAAAATAACGAAGGAATTTCTCTTGAAAAGTTCTGCACGAGTTCAGCAATGACAAGAGCTACAAACCAAATCAAGCCAATCCTGAGACTCAAAGTTTAGACATTTTCTGTCTTTGCTTTTTGTGTACTAAAACTACTCTTTCCTATGTTTAGCCCGCTAATATTGGGTTCATCACTACACATGTTTAGGAAAAAATATTTTGCTTTTGAGAAACCAGACGGCTGCTGTTGTTCATCGTCACTCACACGTCGAGCCTCTTGCTGAAACTTTGCAGCTTTTTTAGTATCTGCTACGGCCCTCTCCACAAAGCCCACTGACTGGTCCATGTTGCTTTCAATCCTGTCAATCATTCCACCCTAATGAGGTGCATGGTGATGTGAAGTAACGGAGATAGTAACAGGAGATGGATCGAGTTAGGAGTTAGACAAAGAAAGAAAGAACACAGAAGAGCAGAAGAGCAGAAGGGCAGGACTGATCCCAGAACACAGAAGAGCAGAAGGGCAGGACTGATCCCACAGGCAGTGTCAGACGGTGTCTGAGGCAGAAGTGAGAAAAGCAGAATGAAGCAGCGCATCGTTTAACAACTTTACCTTTCGTGCTTTGGTCTGATACCTGACAGCCTTTTTGGTCTGTTCCTCAGCGACCATTATGTGGTCCACTGACTTGGAAACATTTTGCTCTATGTTGTCTACTATGTCGCCCTGAAAAACACACAACATGTCCAGTGAGACACAGTAAAAACATGACAAAAATATTTACACATAAAATTCAGTATTATAAAAACATTATTTAAACAATTGCCTCCATTTAAATGGTTGTTAATGTAAGTGGTTCTTGTGACCTAAAGGTTGCAAAACTGGCCCAAGGGTGGAAATAGTTTCATGCATTTAACCCATCTATGACACACTCCACTGACTAACACTGGACACAGAAGAGGAGAGACCTTTTATACACCTGGGAGTTGGGGGAGTTAATTAATGCACCAAACCCCTGCCACTGTCAAGATGTGAACTGGTATTCGTCCTCCGATTACAGATCCACATCCTGTAACCTTTTGGTAACTGCCTAGCCATGGTGATTATGAGTGAAACATATTGTATAAAACTTGATCAGTGCAACGGCCCTTACCTCAAACAAGCCTTTCCCTCAGAAAGCGTGGTACAAGCAGCAAGAAATATGTAGTTATACATATGCACACACACACACACAGACTGATCAACAACGACTTCACTGAAATCTAGTGTCTAATGATGCAACATTCATATGTCTTACTAAATGGTGATCCCATTATTGTTGAGTGATGAGGCAGAAGAAAGCACAGAGATGAAATGGAAAGACATGGCGCTGAAACCAACAAGACACAGAGAGACAGGTGCAGGGTTATGGTCAGTGACAGGAAGTGGAAATAAAGTCAAGTAAAAAAAAGACTAATAAAACGACAACTGTCAATAGAAGAGAGAAGAGGAGGTGGTTTGTGTAAAAAGTGAATAATGAATGAAGTTGACGACGGGTCTCTGATGTAGCTGATGAAGTTGAAGAGATGATGAAATGACCAGAAGCGCAGAAGGGCGTACCTGACTCTCCACCAGCATGGCGATGTCCACAAACATGTCGTGCAGCTCCTTGATGCTACTTTCCAAACGGACAATGTCTTTGTGTCTGGACTCGATCTCATTCAGGGCTTGTTTGGAGATTCCGGAGTCAACGATCTGCAGTGAAGGGAGGTAAATGCCATGACAAACACTTCGACACTACATATCAGTCTCGCTGTCACACATGTCATGTCTCTGGTGTTTTCTGAACAGTACTGGCATGGTAGGATGACAGTTGGATTAGTTTGCATTTTTCTTTAAATAACTCCAAAGTAGATAAAAGGACCAACTGTGTACAGGAAACACATTAGTTGTTTCCTCTAAGAACACAGTGAGAATAAAAGCAGATCAACTTCAAGAAGTTGATTAAATAAATACATGTGGCTGGAAACGTAAATGATGGGAGCAGTTTATGCCAATAAATATTTTTTAATATTTAAATAAACTGCGGAATTAAATGACATACCATTGTTGTTGCTAGTTGTTTAAAATGTTCCTTAACCCTGACCAACATACAGATTAATTTAAAACTGCTCTAAAGTATTTGTTTTCTTGTTTTTTTTTCTCCAAATAAATACACGAACTGTTTGTTATTCCTCGGGCGACCACATGTTGAAGACAGCGTTCTGTCTCTATACAAGGTCTACAGACACAATGACTTACACCAGCTGTAAACACAGCAGCGTTGCCACTCTCCAGCATCTCCTCCAATTCTTCATCAGTGGTTGCTTTTCCAGCTGGACCAAAAGAAGAAGAGCAGAGAGGAGAGGAGAGGAAGAGAAGAGTGGTTGAAGACTAAGTTGATGACAAAGATAATTCTAGGGACTCATCACATGACATTACGTGTGTGTGAATAAGTGTAACTCACTAATTTCTAGCTGCCTTTGAATACGTCCTTTACTCCTCTCCCTGAAGTCCACCTGAGCTTCATTATACTTCGTCATTACTTCCACAAACTTTCTGGAAAGCACTGCATGCTGGGAGATGACAGGAAGAAGATAGCGCTTAGTCAACAGTGACGTTGGAACCTGTCATCTGTGCATGATAAACTTGTTTCCACTTTTGCCGTGACAGATGACACGTGACAGTGGTTTTTGTGTTACGTATTTAACACTGATAAACAAATAAAAAGTATTTTAATGCTGCATTTACATACAAACAGAACCCTTCAAAAATGGGACTATTTGAGGGTAACTTCAGATTCACATCATTTACCTGTGATTTACGTATCCGCATGTCAGCTGACACCCTCTCCTGCTCCTCTGACTCTAGAGACCTCTCAATGGCTGAAACCAAAACAACACACACAGATACAGTGCAGATATTCAGTGCATTTTCCTGTTCCAACTGGCAGTAAAACACAGTATGTATCCATCAGGTGTCTTACTCTTCAGTTTGTTTCTAGCATTGTTGGCCATCTTCTTAATGTCATTGGTGATTCCCTCCAAGTTGTCCTGTGTCTCTGAAAAAGGAGGACAAGTGAGGATAAACAGCCAAGAATAAACGACATATTTTCAACAATGCTTTGCAAAAATCCGAGTCCAATTTCAACAAACTCCAGCTTGTAATAAAAAAAAAACAGAAAACAAATATTAACTGTGCAAATACATGGCCATGAATGGAAGTTCACCGAGAAACGATTGACGTCACAAACTGAGTCATTTCTAAGGCTGTGTTTAAGTTGAACTCTGTGAGAACAGCTGGGAGCTGTATGTAAATAAGCTGCATTCAAATACGTTTTTTTTCCTTTGTCCACCTCACTGGGTCACTCAGTGTTCACGGCCTGTTAACTACTTTCAGAAAGGTCCAGACATGGACAGGTAAAGTGTATCTCTTCTTACCCTGATTGTTTTTCAGAACTTTCGGTTGAAAAGCTTTTGTGATTTACTCAGTTACACATTTACTCAGTTTTGCATTTGGCACATTCAAACATTTTTTTCAGTAAGTGTAGAAAATTTCCAAAACAGAAACCTAATGGGGAACTAGAGGAGAAAAAAGAAGTGGTAAAGAGCCTTACTCTGATCTGATGTAGGAGCAGAGAGGATGACCGAGTAGAGCTTTTTGACTTCTGCAACATTGTCATCAATTTTGTCAATACTGTTCCTAATGTCTTCAATCTGAAATACACACAGACATTTGACACAACAGCTGAAATTACTCAAGAACAGAGTCTTCAATGAAGCTGAAGCAGTGACGGTACAGAGGCACTCACCTGAGAGAAGAAGTCATCCATGAAGGCTGCGTTGTCCATAGCGATCTCCACCTCGTCGTCATCATGGTCACACGTCTGAAGGAACATAAGGTGAAGATTGAATCAGAATAATCACCAGAAGGTCCAGCTGTCTGATCGGAGAACGTGTGAAGGGAGGCAGGGCGTGCGGGCGGTTTCTGTGAAGCTTACAGTATGAGGCAGTGCAGGATTAAAGGTTTAAGCCAAGGTCAGACTTGTTTCTGCTTGATCTGACAGACGTGAGAGGGGTCGGTGTCAAATGACTTGAAAATGGATTGTTTCAGCGTTTGAGAAGGTGAATGACTACAACAAAACATCTGACACAGTCAGACCCACCTGCTGACAGAAATGTCTAAAATTCATTATTTTCTAATGCCTCAGTTCAATTAAATTTACCAGCTGAAAAAATATGTTGGTCATGGTTTTTGCATAAAACAAGTTCTCTGCAAAAAAAGAAACTGTGTACTGTGTCAATAACAACCACCCAACCAGAGATCAACCAAACTAACCTGAGGCTAAACCATGTTTATAGTCAAACCTGCCCGTGTACAGAACACTGAGGAGCTGCCTGGTGACTTTTGTGTTGCACTTTGAACATCATTTTTAAAGCCTAATAATGAGTTTTTTTCCTGGTTTTTAATGTAGAACAAAACTTTTATTGTATTTTATGTTGTGTGGAAGCACAACATCAAAGTTTCTTATCTATATCACAATGTTTTTCATATCAGTGAAAATATCAGACCAGCCAAGAGAGGATTAAATACTGAAGTAACCCAAAGGTCCTATATGTTGTTGTAACATTAGATACGTTAGTGACAAAAAATGTTTTTTATAATTAATTAGTCATTAGAAGCGTAAAAACACCAAACTCTAAAGCAGTTTTATCAACATGAGGATTGTGGGCCATATCCGGAACACAACTATATTCCCCCAATATAAAAGCCACTGAAAAAACCAACAACTGATATAACTATCCCACCCTCAAGAATAGTGACCCCTTCTCTAAAAGAAACAACTTAATTATTTCTGTTTTTCAGGCTATTTAGGGAAGAAATTCAGTATTTCATGGATATATTGTATGTTTAGGCTGCACATCCTGTAATTCTGCTTTGATATACTACATATTTACAACATGTTTGAATTTAGATAAAAGGCTGTTATAATTACTTTTTTTTAAGTGCAGTATGTCACATAAACCACAAGTAAAGACTTAAATTTCTTCAGCCAAATAAATCCGTCAGAGAGCTTCACTTTGCTCAGTCATAAATTACAGTTAGCACAGTGTACACAGCACTCAGCACAAGTTTAGTGGTGATTATTTACATGGTTCAGAACCTTGACCAGGTTCAATAACCCCAACCTGCTTTCAGCTGACTTCAAGAAACCACAGCTATTGTGCAGTGTAAACACGTCATAATAATGTGTTGGGGGGAAGGGAAGAAGACAATGATGAAGAGATTTACTCCCTGGGGTTTAAAGACTTGTCCCATAAACTAACGCCCAGGTAGATTTCCTGACACAGTGATGTCTAACGAAGATTCTCGTCACATTTTTTTAAAGGGACAACGGGATTCAAACATCTTCCCTCTGCCTTCTCATCTCCTCAATAAATTATGACTTTCAAATGATTACAATTATACCTAAAAAGACCACAAGCTAGTTTTGGATTGAACACGATTATTCATGATAAATCGTGATCTCAAAAGTACAATGGAATTATTATTGGTGTTACCATCAATACAAACCATTGTGGCTAAACAGCTACACGCTCCACGGCAGATATATACTTTGTGTAACAACTTTGAGACTGACTGAAAAGGAAAAGTACAAAATTCCCAAAAGTCCTTAAAAAAAGATTTTTAAACTTAATCGAAAAGGAAACATCATATTGTTTCCTTTTATTATTTACTAGTTTATTTTTACTTGAGAAAAATGAGTAAATAGATTGGAGGGAAATTTTAACAGTGTGAGAAAAAGGATGCCGAGCGCTGCAGCATACTGGATTATTCTATCAAAAGACATTCCAACATCAACAGAAATCCTCCATCACTGATCATTAAAATATAGTGTAAATACATTGGACAACATTGTGATAACTTGATGTAAAGAAAGACAAGACCAATTTAGCTAGTTTTGCGTGATAAAATTGTTAGCATACAATACACTTTTAATTGCACTTCTCTGCACACAAAGCACCATGCATCATGTGACACGATTACCTTCAATAAGGCAGTGAACAAACAGAGGTTTCACTGTGCAGCAGATAAGAGTGACCCTAAGCCTCAGTCAACAAGACGACTGTCTCTATAACTAACACTTGACACGCAGTTTCGCACCAGCTAACACAGTTTTCAATTGCACTTTCTGGGAAAGTCCGATTGTAACAAAAAACAGAGTGAATAAACCCAGAAATGAGAAAAAAAACATTAATGTGTTAAAAAAAAAAACTCAAAATTGTTTTAAAACCAGCCGTTAATCACCTGCAACTCCACTGTGTTTGAATCGACACTGAGATCAAACCTACAGTACAATGACTCATCTCACCTACAAAACTAAACACATACAAGTACCAACCCCGTCACTTCCTTATCACAGGAAGTACATCATTCAGTCACCTCAACAAAACGGAGAGCAGATAGACTGGCAGACTTTGACACTGACTAACATAAGGCACATGACAGTCTGCAACTTTGGTGAAGGGCTGAAGTATGATGTAAATTAAATTACTGTGCAGACTTTTACAGTGATTTGTATATAAGCTAACTTTTCCTTAAATTCTTTAAAAAAACACTATAAGAGATAGAGTTTTAAACTTTCAGAATTTTACCAAAAGAACTCAACAATTGTGGACATATCTAAATATTTGACAGTTTGAGTGTACTTTTTATAGAATAGCAACCATTCATTAATATTATTGTGGTCATAATAACAATAAGTTATAAATCTGACAGTGGATGTAAAAACTGTGTTGTGGGCCCATGATAGAGCAGCTACTCTTTTAATAATACATCCGCGGTTAAAACAGGAGCAACTGACTCAGTGTGGATAAATGAGAAGCTCCACTTGACAGAGGACAGTCACACAGGCCTGTAGTGATCTCACTAAAGCAGAGAGGATGTGGCTTTTGCACAAGTCAGGGTTGAAAACAAAGTGAGAACAAATGAAGGCTGAGTAACAGAAAATTTATATTCATTTTTCACTTCATTTTTTGAGCTAAACTTTTTTTTAATATAATATGACAAAGTAATTTAGTGAATCGTGTTTAAACTGACCCCAGCTCAGATCCTGTTGTTCTACGTGTATCCTGGTTTTGTTGAAACATTCCACAAGGTTTTTCAGGTCTACAATACTATTGGTCAGGAGATGTTATTAAGCTAAAACATGAATATCTGTAAACAATTCAATATATGTGCTAATGTTATACCATACAGCCATAACCTTTACCATTTGAACAAGAAAAACAACAAGATAATGAAAGAGGTGCTGAAATGTATTTTAATTAAAAAAAAAAGTAAAAGCATTAAGGTGCAGTGATTTCAGCAGAGTTACTCATGAGGTAGGTTTTAAAAAAAAATCATTGTAAGGTGAGTCTGACCTCTTGAGCTGCATCACTTCCTATTTGCACTCTTATGTTTTTGAAAAGGAGCCAGCTGTGGCAGGGTCAAATATTTGGTTACTAGTACCTAGTAACTATAGCAACACAACACATCTCAACTTGGGATAGACTATCAATGTCTTACCCTAAACAGGCAGCAAGAGTGCAAACTGTGACCAAGGTAGTTTTGATTAAAAGGCTGCTTTGTTGTTTGAGGTTTTTCTTTGCTGTTCTCTGTGTGCAGTAACATATCCTGACAATCTGTCAAAAATACAACTATTCTGGCCATGTGACAGTGTCATTATCTGGATTTATTTTTTTGCCCAAAAAACCCCCACAGACTTCCCTAATTTAGCCAGAACATTGTCCAGAAAAACACAATACCTTCAATTCATCTATCATTAATACTCTAATGTTTACACTTACTACTAATATAATTGTTATATTGACACATGATGGAGGTGTACCATGCACTCTTTATGTCCTTTCTTTTTGACCACACAAAACAAATAAATGTCATTTAGCAACAGTACAATTGCAAAAATAATTGTATTTTCAGGACTCTAACATTTTTGGGTCACAACCCACTATTTGAGAAACACTAGTTAGTGTGATGTTTGGATCATTATTCAACTGGGTTCATAGAATGAAAAACATTGACACAATAAATTCCGTGTTTTACTTATATATATGCCCACAGATACTACTTCCTATTCTTATTGTCTTTCATTTGGTGGTACGTTAAAAATCCATATTTTTCTGTCATTCTCATAATCAGCATTAAGCCACAGTTAAATTAAATATTTGAGCGTGTAGACACGCACAGAGCAACAGCTTCATTGAAAATAGTAAGGAAATCTAATTAAAATTAAATAATAATAAAAATAACACATAGCACTGCTGCATATATAGTAATTCAAAATATTCTCTTGTTCTTGCCAATTGAATCGACCATAATTTTCCAACGAGCAGGATTACATCACGAGTTATGTCATGGCAAACGATTAAAGATAAACCGAAAACGGTCAACTGTAAAACTCGTTAGGAACAGGAACATTACAAATATGGCTTCCCTTAGTTTTTCTCTTTAGAATGTTTTTTAGCAAAGGTTATTTGAAAGTGGACAGGAAGGTGATACTATGGGAGGAAAGGGTACGTTTCCTGGACATCACTTACCGCTTTAAGTTGCTCCAATCGGTCTTTCATCTTCAGTCCTTTAACCGAACACCCACAGGGCACAGAAATATGACAAATACGTAGTATGAATGATCCGAAAACTAATCACAATCCTTGGATTCCTCAGCCAGCTGGCAGGCTAGCTGACCCAGCGCACAGCACCCGTCAGTTGAAGAAAAACTTAAACACCACAAAACTTCTAACTGTAGCGTCCGGGAACCCGAGGTTTTCTGAGAAGACGAGTCTTTTCGTTGTTTTTCCATACAATATGGCTGCTGGGTTCAAAAGCACTGTTTTTTCCCTTTTGTAAATCTCCTTGGGTAGGGGATTAAAACAACAGTTGCGTAGAGCAATATAATCTGTCCCTCCGCCGGACTCCAGTAATCATTCTAAAACGCTCTTTCAGTCTCACGCATGCGTGGACTAATCCCTGTCCTCGGGGATGACAAGCCACACCCACAGCCACCTGCACCTGTGCTGCGTTCAGATGTTATGGGAATAATTAAACTCGTTCCGAGTCCTTCTCGACTTTCAATTGTCGTTTAAGTTGGTGATAATTCTGGCTCAGCATCAACTTATGATGCCTTAAGTGAGATTGAACAACAATGACTTCAATTATTACGACTCTATCTGATTGATGGAATGAAAATATACCATTATGCATTGTGTTGATGACAAATCGAACTAGTAAGTTCACTGCCAAATTAGCTCATTACTGCTTAGCTAAACAGACCAGTAACATTAGAAACACTAATCAAAAAGAGTGCATTATTCTGACTGAACTATACTAGTTAAGATGAAATACAACATCCCAGAGGGTCTTATTTTCTCCAACATCATCGATCACAGTAACTCGTCGTGAAGCCAGTGAGGAACTCCAACAGAAAGTACATTACTGACACCTAGTGGTCATCGTTCGGATAAGCAGCCTTAAATACTGAATAAAAACTACCCCTAAAAATGTAGCATCGATTTCCCCATGTAGTGGCGCTTTGGCCCAGAGAGGCAATGTCTCTGTCATTGGTGTGGAACCCCACGGTTCACCTCCTGGACAAGTTCGAATCCCGGTTACGGCGGTTAATACCCTCCAGTGGACTCACCACCCACAGGAATGGAGACTGCTGCCGTATGGTGCAATGTGATTTGGGTGGAGACTGCTGCCCCCGCAACCTGGTAACGGATAAGCGGATGAAAATGGATGGATGGATGGATTTCCCCATGTGTCACAAAAGTTGATGCTTTGGGGTCGTTTGCCATTTTGAAGTAATTTGTTACACCACATCTTTACATGACTTTGATTACCAAGGCTTTAATGCATCTCTATTATTGTTACACTTGCAACGCACCCCCACCCTCCAAAAATAGACAACATGTTATATTGAGAATGTTTTTATTCAAAGTTTAACTCCCCATAGTGTTTCCAGTACACCATACAACAGCATTATGACAGCTGGCTAAGTGCAGTGGAGGGTACTCGGCGATGAAGACTAGCATGTTGCCATGCTAACGACAACACTAACATGGGGTGATATCACAACCACAACTTTTCCACCAATTTACTTTTTCTTAGTTCTAAAACAAACAGAAATTTTCAAAAATAAGAAAATCTGAAAAGGTATTTTAAGGTTCAGGGACAACACTCCGACATTTTGCATCAACAGTTTACAGGGACAGGGAAATTATGGGAACTGGTTAGAGGTCATCTTCGTCTTCTGGAAGTGCTGTTGCTGATGCAACCTAAAAGTAAATAATAAAATAATACAGATAAATAAACGGTTCAAATTTGTATTCTCTGCAGAAAGTACTTAATTAAGCCAAACATGTTAACTCACCTGAAGCTCTTCCTCATATTGCGCAGCAAGTTGTGGGTCCATATGGATCTCTGGGGGGGCAAGGGCAGGCATCGCCACAAATTCCAGGTTGGCATCACCAATTAACTTCCTCGCTAACCAGAGGAAAGGCTTCTCAAAGTTGTAGTTACTCTTGGCAGAAATGTCATAGTACTGGGGAAAATAACACATGTTAGATGTAATGTTCAGGCCAAACAAACTCAGTCACGAACAACTAAGTTATAAACACTTTGTGTAAACCCAGTAATTTACCTGCAAGTTCTTCTTGCGGTGAAACACAATGCTCTTGGCTTTGACTTTCCTGTCCTTAATGTCAACCTTGTTGCCACACAGGACGATGGGAATGTTTTCACAGACACGGACCAGATCACGATGCCAGCTGGGCACGTTCTTATAGGTGACTCGAGAAGTGACGTCAAACATAATGATAGCGCACTGAGCTGTAGAAGCAAAATAAAAAATTTTTTAAAAAATTAAATGTTTTGCCATAGCTTTAAATTTAATGGAAAGTCCGAAATTGTCAACACAATGTTTTTTTGGTATTACCTTGAATATAGTATCCATCTCTCAGGCCTCCAAACTTCTCCTGACCAGCTGTATCCCACACATTGTACTTAATGGCTCCTCTGTTAGTGTGGAAAACCAGGGGATGCACTTCCACTCCCAAGGTAGCTGGAAAAAGAAATGTCCAAGTTTAACATTAGAGCAACCTATAAAATAAGTGTTTCAAAGA